TAGGCAAACTGTAAATGTCATGGGAAAATGTAATTTGCCAAATGGGCAATTGTATACCATCACGGTTAACAGGGTTGTAAAACTAGTTGGCCTTAATTGTTGTTTTCAGTAAAATGCAAGTAGGGCCTTTTCTTGCTAAGATAAAAAAAAGAAAAAGTTTGCCCAACCAATCTGCTGCCTTTACATGTTAATAGATGGGGTAAAAAAAATACTGAGATAGCAGTATGGAAGCATGGGCTTAGAAGATAATATACATTATTGCATGCATAGTGTATTATTTGTAAGTACTCTTTGGACTTCATCTGTTCTGGGAGCCAATAAATGCCATCACTCTGGAGAATCAAGTTGCTGAAGAGATTCATTGGGATTGAAGGAGTTTGTGCCATATATCCCTGTTTCCATAATAGCAAAAATAATTATAACAATAATTATTATCCATCATTCCTTTATACTGTATTTACAACATATTGGTGCTGTGACTAGGATTCAAACCAAGGTTGGTGCAGAGATTCATTGGGATATGAAGAGCTCTTAAACCTGCACTCCTGTTTCCACAATAACACTAATAATCATAACGATAATTGTTAGTCATCCCTTGTATATTTACAACATACGGTATATCTTACCAGAAGAAACAATTAATATAATATCAAAAACAACAACTAGAGGAAATATAAAAGTTATTTGTTTATTCAATCAATTTTATAATTTAGATAAAATATGCATCCTTATCTGGGACCTGGTTAGCCTTGCACATATGAAAAAAACATACCATAGTAATGACAGCATGTTAAATTACCATTTTAATAACTGGTTGCATAGAAAACACTGCACTAGATGACAGACTGGTTTCAGCCACATCACCAGCTGCAACAGGGATGAACTTGCAAAGGTGGATTTATGTTCTCTTCATAAAAAAGAGCCACATGTCAAGCTGGGATGAAAAGTCAAAGGTGCAGGGACATCACAACACCACCAATGTAAACAGCAAGATCATGCCACACAAACACCAACATCTCTACACTGAAATCAGCAATTGAACACAAGGGGAGTGTCAAGACTAATGGATTGCCTAGCTGGATAATCTTCCCAAGTCCTTGGTCTGTCCATGATGGGCAGAGCTCTGTTCACAGTTGAATATCCAGGCCTCCCACTCTGGACTGTATTCAGAATAAATCTTCATGGAGAACTGAGTATGCAAAACAAGTACCATAGCCTCTTCGCAATCATAGATAGTGGTAAAGGCCTGGCAGTTAATGAAACTGGTGCTTCTTGAGTCCATGCTGTATTCTTTTCAAATACTAGACTTCTATTAATATTAGTTGGTAATAAATAATAAATTGTATATGTTGATAACTATTACACAATTTCTTGAAATCTGAACATAGGGGACACTTCAAAAAATTGCTGTAGTGTTCACTTACCTTGTTTTTTCCCAGGCGTAGAAAGAGGCAATCTGTGAGATGAAAGCTTCTTGTAGAAGACATTCTTCAGAAGAACTCCACTGCAAACAGAATAGCCTTAAAGGCAACATTCCTACATCATTCCTTTTTGCAGATAAAAAGAGAATAAAAGGATACACATACAGTATATTTTTTCTGGGTAATTTTATGCTTTTCAAGGTAGAAATTATAGGTAATACCATTCTCTTTATTTTTTTTTATCTATATATCTAGCTATACTTATCTATATATATAGTATATGCTTATATGTTAAGATTGGTCTTTTAAATAAATTATTTTTTCACTTTAGACCAAACTCAGAATTTAGTTTGATAAAGGGTTATGGAAGGGTCTCTAAGAGATAAGTATGTATGAAAGCAACACAAGTTAAAAAATGTAACTGCGGATAGGCTATGGCCTTTAAAATATTCACATATTGTTAGCAAGCATATTGCTAACAAGTAGTAAATATGCTACAAAAGAAGTCCTTATTGATGCCTGTTGCTGCAGGCCCTTTGTAGCAATTCATCCTCAAAGTTCACATCTAAACTCTGAAGTGGTTCAAGTAGTTTTTCTCAGCAACACAGCTCACCCTCGTATCTCTATATCTTATCTTATCTCTTATTAAACAGCTTCTGTTTGGTGTTTAAATTTGAGGTTAGATGGCTGGAGGGCTGCCAGGTTACTACTGGGAAGGGGGAGCAAGAGGAACTGAGCTGCTATGAGAAAAACTTCAGTGATGCTGTTGTAATACTTGAGGATGAATTGCTTTAGAGTGTTGGCAGCTACAGAGACCAACAAGGGCTTGTTTTGATTCACATTTAGTGTTTGTCAAAAATGTAAATATTTTGATGTTCATAGCCTGGCCAAAGTTACACTTTAAGACTTTGCATAAAATATATTGTTTTATCTTGTGTTGCTTTCCTTTATAGTTACTTTGCAGTGACCTTCACATCAGAAGCACTGAAGTGATTCTCCTAGCAGCTCAGCTCCCCCTGCTCCCCCCTCCCTGTAATTTCTCAGGAGCCTTTCAGCCTTCTAATCTCCAATGTAATCGACAGGACAGGTGCTCTGGCAGGGGAGTTGAGTTGTTGAGAGAATAACTTGAATTGCTTCAGTACATGTTCTGTAAACGTTCAGGATGAACTGCTCCACAGTGCCTGCAACTACAGCGGTTGAGGGTTAATTTTGAATCTCATTAGCTGGTTGTTAAAATATGTAACTACTTGAATGTCCATACCTGACTTCTGTGCAAAAGTCAGAGGCAGTTGTAAAAAAATGCTCTAAATTAAGAATGCTTTCAGAACTAGAAGTGTTAATAGTTTGTTTTCATCAATTAACAAAATGGAAGGTAAATGAACAGAAGATAAATCCTGGTATGACCATCCTTTGTCTTCAAAATAGCATCAGTTCTTCAAGGTACATTTGCACACAGTCTTTGAAGGAACCGGGCACGTAGGTTGTTCCAAACATCTTGGAGAATAACCACAGATCTTCTGTTCATGTAGGCTGCCTCAAATCCTTCTATCTCTTCATGTAATCCCAGACAGACTTGATGCTTAGAGCAGGGCTCTGTGGAGGTCAAACCATAACATCCAGGACTCCTTGCTCTTCTTTATGATGAAGATAGTTCCTAATGACATTGGAACAGGAGGACATTTTCTACTGGGGACACCTGTGTTCCAGTGACAGCTGTCCAGAAGATGACTTTGGAGAGATTTCCACTGTGTCTTTGCAAAATAAAGCAAACAAAAATCTCAACTATGGTACACAGACAGTGTAATCTTAACTATCCTCCAATCGTACCCAAAAAGGTTTGGCTTTAGATATACAATAAGTTTTTTGTTTATTTTTTATTTACAAAAGGAAAAGGGGGTGCCCTGCTAGAATTTGCCTCCATTCCTTTCCATATGCACACCATTAAAATACCTATGGCCACACTCCATGTAATCCAGTGTCTCAATAAACGTTATTGATCCAGACAGACCAAACAGACCCCACCTAAATTATCCCACTCTAATGCTTCTTGACCATCTAAAATGTTTATTTGTAGAAAGCTCTATGATCGAGCCCATTAGGTGGGCGTTACAGGCAGAATCTGTTTGGTCTGTCTGGATCAATAAAGTTAATTCAGACCCTAAATTACATGCAGCCATGTCCATTTTTAATTCCCTGTGGAGTTATTATTTATTGGTGGAAGCAAGCAGTAATTAGTTGACTTGCTGTGAATAACTTGTAAACACTGTACCCAGCAATACACATTTCTGCATACAAAACATAATGTAGAGACAAAGCCACATAGTTAAATTATCATGAAATTTACTATCTGACAAATTTGGTTTTTATTGCTAAGTAAATTGTTATGTAAAGAGAATACTTAAGATGTTCTGTAAAGTAAAGTTTGTCAGGCTTGCCCTTAGTTCCGTTTATCTCCTGGGATGCACTAAATGCTTCTTCAGATATAAGAAGTGAATTATTCATCTACTGTATTTCTCCATGTAGATAAACATGAACTAACAGAGGTCTTTCAAAGTTCACTACTTAGTGAATAATGAAACTGCTCACAAATGATATGTGCTGCTTTGGTTCTTAAATATGTAATGCTAGTGACATGAATCTAATTTGAATCACAACTGTTGGCTTGCCAAATGGGTTGTATTCATAAAATAATTATGTCTGGCTTGTTCATTCTTCCTATTTCAGTGTTTAGAGAATATTCAGATAAGGTCAAACTCTTTGCCTTGCAGAAAATGTATTGGTGCTCACAATAAAATCCCTGCACTTTTCAAAAGGTCAGCTAAAAGAACAGGTTTAACAGCCAAAGAAAAATACATTTACTGTAGTATTTGTTTTTTATTGTAAAAAGGATAAACTTACTAAAGACATTTTACCAATGCCTATTTTTATGACATTTATTAAATTTTTTATTCTACTTTAGATATATTGAAATTTCTTTAAACTGACCCTTCCAAGACATCTATGTATAAACTTTTTATAAAGCAGTGAACTTGTAAAGCACCTGAAATAGTTACCTGCAGTGAATGTTTGGTCAATGTCATGTTTATTGCTTTATAAATATACCCTTTAGAGTAACTCTCAACTCTAAATGGATGACAATTATTAGTTTCCTTTATTTTTAATTCTTTATTTCAAGACATAACAAACACAAACAGTCTAACTTTGATGCACAGCATATTAAGCTGGGAATAATACAGCAAAAAAAGTGACATGCCATACAGGAAATCATGATCAGATTAAGTACTTACCCTTACCCATACCTGGGTGTCATTCACATTTGTGACTGTCAGTTACACAAATCCCATACCTGGCTCATGGTACCTCAAGGGTCTACATTTACTTTTCTCAACTCCATGTGATCCATTATCAGATTGTTGTCGGCATTGCCACATATGGATTTTAGCAATATATCTGTCCAATTTGGATTGTGACAAATATATTAAAGTTGACATTCAAACCCATAAGGGTTCTGATCAGGGTCTGGTCTCCCTTTCATTATAGTTCTTAATTCATTAGCAGACCAAAGGACACACTGACTCTGAATCATTGCCAGCCAACACTCTGCTGACATTGTTAACACCAGGGGCGGACTGACCATTTGGAAACTTGGGCACTGCCCAAGGGCCCGGGGTCAGTAGGGGGCCCTATGAGATGCCCCTGGTACCTTTTTCATAGGCTTTTTTGAGTTTGGGCAAGGACACAGGGGCCCCATGATCCCCTATTGCCCAGGGGCCCCATGAGTTGTCAGTCCGCCCCTGGTTGACACTCTTACTGGATTGACCTATACAGAACCTCGAGACTCTATCTTAGCTTTTCCCTTCATTTGTCTACTCTAGCCTTCATCTTTTCTATTCCAGAAGCTGAAGACTCTAACTCACTCTCCTGCAGCAGGTTTGCACCGCCTTTTTCTCCCAATGTTTCTGTAGGGGTGCTTGCCTCTACAGGGGTCAGTTTACACTTTCTTCCCTTCTTATACAAATAGTACAGGGACAAATCAACCTCCGTATTCTCTCTCTGCTGCTTTTTGCTTAAGACTGGATACATTTGTATGCCTTTTTGCAGTCTGTCCCATGGGGAGAAAGAGCAAGATATACACAATGACTTGATTTTGATTTATCGCAATACAGGGGCATGGTTCTCACATTGCTGATCAAAGGGAGGGGCTAACATCTTTTTGGGGCTATCACTAACAGAAGAAAATTGCTTTGATTTCCATGTGCACCATTAACCCCCCCACACACACACAATCTACGGGTTTTCACAACCCACTGCAGATCCTTCCCTCCTCTACCTCAAAGATTCAGAATACTGACAATATTCATATAAATTATTTTGTAACACCTCAAAAGTCAGAACACAAACACAATCTGCCAATTAGCAGCACCACAAGAAATTCCCAGCAATCAATCTTCTGCGCCATCTCAATGTCTAAGCACTCTGTTTTTTGACAGCTAATTAGTTTGGTTAGTGGGAAACAGTATAGAAGTGTGCAGTGTTACATAATTATCCTACATTAGTTCACATTATATCAGTATCCATTCAAACAGGATTTAGCATCAAAACACTGCAAACATCAGCCTGCTGCATGCAGTTAGCATTTATCGGCACACAACATTTATTTGAAAAAAATATCACTGCACAAGAGAGTCACATTTCACACAATACTACTGGGTCCTAGGAAAGACTCAAAAGTTTGGGCACCCCAGTATTAAATGTGCATAAAAAAATCTCCAAAAGGCATCAAATTACAGATTAGACATTCTTATAATATGTCAAGAAAAGTTAGATTTTATTTCCATCATTTACACTCTCAAAATAACAGAAAACAAAAAAAATGGTGTCTGCAAAAGTTTGGGCAGAGTTAATATCTTGTACTGCCCCCTTTGGCAAGTATCACAGCTTGTAAACGCTTTTTGTAGCCAGCCAAGAGTCTTTCAATTCTTGTTTGAGGTATCTTTGCCCATTCTTCCTTACAAAAGTCTTCCAGTTCTTTGAGATTTCTGGGCTGTCTGTCACGCACTGCTCTTTTAAGGTCTATCCATAGATTTTCAATTATGTTGAGGTCAGGAGATTGTGAAGGCCATGGCAAAACCTTCAGTTTAGGCATCTTGATATAATCCCCCGTGGATTTCGAGGTGTGTTTAGGATCATTATCCATTTGTAGAAGCCATCCTCTCTTTAACTTCAGCTTTTTCACAGATGGCATCAAGTTACCATCCAAAATTTGCGGAAATTTTATTGAATCCATTTTTCCTTCTACTCGTGAGATGTTCCCCGTGCCACTGGCTGCAACGCAACCCCAAAGCATGATTGATCCAACCCCATGCTTAACAGTTGGACAGAGGTTCTTTTCATTAAATTCTGTGCCCCTTTTCTCCAAACGTACCTTTGCTCATTCCAGCCAAAAAGTTCAATTTTAACCGCATCGGTCCACAGAACTTGTTTCCAAAATGTTTCCAAAATGCATCAGGCTTGTCTATATGTTCATTTGCAAAGTTCAAACGATGATTTTTGTGGTGAGGACGTAGAAGAGGTTTTCTTCTGATGACTCTTCCATGAAGACCATATTTGTACAAGTATCTCTTTATAGTGGAATAGTGTACCACAACTCCAGTGTCTGCCAGATCTTTCTGGAGGGATCATGCAGTCAAACGTGGGTTTTGAATTGTTTTTCTCACAATCCTGCGAGCTGTTCTGTCTGATATTTTTCTTGGTCTTCCAGATCTTGCTTTAACTTCCACTGTTCCTGACTGCCATTTCTTAATTACATTCCGAACAGAGGATATTAACATCTGAAAACGCTTTGCTATCTTCTTATAGCCTTCTCCAGCTTTGTGAGCGTCAACTATTTTCAGTTTCAGTTTTCTAGACAACTGCTTATAAGAACCCATGGTGCTGATTGTTGGGGCAAGGTCAGATGAGTCTGGGCATTTAAAACCTTTGAGATTGACATCACCTGGTCTTCCCAGACGATGACTGAGAACAATCCATGACACTGGAAGGTCTCAGCTTTGCAAAGGGGGCAGTGCATGCTATAAATTCTGCAGGGTGCCCAAACTTTTGCAGACGCCATTTTTTTGTTTTCTGTTATTTTGAAAGTGTAAATGATGGAAATAAAATCTAACTTTTCTTGACATATTATAAGAATGTCTAATCTGTAATTTGATGCCTTTTGGAGATTTTTCCATCTTTCCTTGGCTTCTTTATGCACATTAATACAAAATTTTAGCTGGGGTGCCCAAACTTTCGATCCCCACTGTACCTTTGGCACCAGTGTCAGCCCAATTCTCCAGTGCCCACCCATCTTGGTCCAGTAGATAAAGCGATATAGAGGTACCCGCATTCTCCACCATCTGATCTGAAAGAATCCAGACTACTTTCTTGTGCAGTGAAAATATCATTCAAGTTTATGAAAATTATATTTGTGGCATTTTAACAGCACAGAGGAAAGTCCTAAATTGTTTACATTTAACTAGATATTTATATCATTTTGATTGTTTAAACTACTCCTTGTTAATAAAAGAGAAATCCAGTAATGTATCCTTGTAAAACACCAAAATTCAGTGAATTTCCGAAAGACACGCTCCTCTGCTTGACCATAACAGCTTGGCTGGGTGCAGGACAACGTAACTTTCCTATGCCTAATAGCATAAACAATCAGCACTTTCCACGCATTCACACGATTCAACTTACAAACCTTCTATCTATTGGAAAAAGCTGTATAGTGACAAAAGCCATGCTGAGGTAACTGCTCATCCAATGGTAATTGAGCAGAATGGATCTGAAGATGTGGCAAAAACCATACAGAATTATAGATCATTTGGCCAGTGCATTAGTTCATATATATATATATATATATATATATATATATATACACAGTGGGCAAAAAAGTATTTAGTCAGCCACCAATTGTGCAAGTTCTCCCACTTAAAAAGATGAGAGAGGCCTGTAATTGGCATCATAGGTAGACCTCAACTATGCGAGACAAAATGAGAAAAACAATCCAGACAATCACATTGGCTGATTTGGAAAGAATTTATTTGAAAATTATGGAGGAAAATAAGTATTTGGTCACCTACAAACAAGCAAGATTTCTGGCTCTCACAGACCTGTACCTTCTTCTTTAAGAGGCTCCTCTGTCCTGCACTCATTACCTGTATCAATGGCACCTGTTTGAACTTGTTATCAGTATAAAAGACACCTGTCCACAACCTCAAACAGTCACACTCCAAACTCCACTATGGTGAAGACTAAAGAGCTGTAGAAGGACACCAGAAACAAAATTGTAGACCTGCACCAGGCTGGGAAGACTGAATCTGCAATAGGCAAGCAGCTTGATGTGAACAAATCAACTGTGGGAGCAATAATTAGAAAATGGAAGACATACAAGACCACTGATAATCTCCCTCGATCTGGGTCTCCACGCAAGATCTCATGGGGTCACAAATGATCACAAGAACGGTGAGCAAAAATCCCAGGACCACATGGGGGGGGACCTAGTGAATGACCTGCAGAGAGCTTGGGACCAACGTAACAAAGGCTACCATCAGTAACGCACTACGCCGCCAGGGACTCAGATCCTGCAGTGCCAGACATGTCCCCCTGCTTAAGCCAGTACAAACCCGGGCCCGTCTGAAGTTTGCTAGAGAGCATTTGGATGATCCAGAGGAGGATTGGGAGAATGTCATATGGTCAGATGAAACCAAAATAGAACTGTTTGGTAGAAACACAACTCGTCGTGTTTGGAGGAGAGAGAATGCTGAGTTGCATCCAAAGAACACCATACCTACTGTGAAGCATAGGGGTGGCAACATCATGCTTTGGGACTGTTTCTCCGCAAAGAGACCAGGACGACTGATCCATGTACAGAACAGAATGAATGGGCCATTTTTGGTGAGATTTTGAGTACAAACCTCCTTCCATCAGCAAGGGCATTGAAGATGAAACGTGGTTGGGTCTTCCAACATGACAATGATCCCAAACATACCACCCGGGCAACGAAGGAGTGGCTTCGTAAAAAGCATTTCAAGGTCCTGGAGTGGCCTAGCCAGTCTCCAGATCTCAACCCCATAGAAAACCTTTGGAGGGAGTTGAAAGTCCGTGTTGCCCAAAACATCACTGCTCTAGAGGAGATCTGCATGGAGGAATGGGCCAACATACCAGCAACAGTGTGTGCCAACCTTGTGAAGACTTACAGGAAACGTTTGACCTCTGTCATTGCCAACAAAGGATATATAGCATATTATTGTATTGAGATGAACTTTTGATATTGACCAAATACCTATTTTCCACCATAATTTGCAAATAAATTCTTTCCAAATCAGCCAATGTGATTGTCTGGATTTTTTTTCTCATTTCGTCTCTCATAGTTGAGGTCTACCTATGATGCCAATTACAGGCCTCTCTAATCTTTTTAAGTGGGAGAACTTGCATAATTGGTGGCTGACTAAATACTTTTTTGCCCCACTGTATATATATACAGTCAGGTCCATAAATATTGGGACATGGACACAATTCTATCATTTTTGGCTCTATACACCACCACAATGGATTTGAAATGA